CACCTGGCAGCACTTTACACTTCCCCAAGTCTAGCTGTGAGGCAGCTGTGACTGCAACAGGCTCAGTTGCCTTAACTCCTTCAAGAGTAAAGCCCACCACTGATGAGGCTGAAGTCTGTACTCTAGTTCCATGCATGCATTATTGAAAGTGGTGACCCACTGAACAGCCTGAATGAATTTTTTTCCATGCTGGGCTCACCAGCAGCTCAATGCCACTTTCTAAAAACCAGTGATAAACCTCAGAGAACTATCTGTATTCCTTGGTTGCTATTTCTGACAGATATTTCATTTTTATTATTTTAGCAGTTTCTTCTTTATTTCTCATTGACACAAAGAGAGGACAGGAAGAAAAAGAAGATGAAATATGCTTGCTTCCTCATCCTCTTGGTAGGCACATACTAAACTGGACTGGCTGAAACCTGAAGAAGAAGTCATATTACCATTCTTCCCTAGTAAAGAAATTAATTATTTCCTGTGCAGATGCCTTGTGAGCACACACAGTAAGAGTTTGGGTTTGGGCTTTTTTTGACAAAGCAAGTCTTTATTGAAACATCAAAATCAGTGAGGTCAAACCTTGCAGGAAAAAAGTAATTTTTGACACAGATTTCTTTGAAATCCAACATAAAATTTTCCATCAGAACTTGAAAAAAAATGGTACTCCTTCTCCCAGTTTGCCAATTTCCTGTCAATTCTTGTTGGAGAAGTTTGGGTTTAGGAAGAAGATGTTTTCTACTAAGAAGGTCAAACAACTTCCTTCAGAAGGGCTGAGTCTTTTCTGCTGCAGTTCTTCCACTTTGCATGAAAAGGTGAATAATTAGCTCCCCACACCATGAATCAGACTGATTAGAGACTTGATTGATTTAAACTCTCCAGATTAAACACAAATGCACTAATCAGCTGACAACAGAATCCTTCTCATGAATCCTGGTCCAAATAATATTTAACTCTATAAAACTGCTTAAAGAACACAATCAAGTTCAACTACAATTAACTTGTATAACCTGACTGTATAAACATATCTGTGGGAGGGTCTCAAATCTTATTCTGGCTTCCTGAATTAGGTTTTCAACACCCATGTTTTCTCTTACATCCATCCAAGTACCAGAGCTTCAAATACTAGGAACAAAGAATAGAAATCCAGGCTCATCATTCAACTGACCCCATAACTAGCTGGACTTTTTTTTCAGAACTGGTGAATGAACCTTAGCCCATTCTGCTCGTGAGGCAACAAGCCCTTCAGAAGCTGGGACACGTCTGAAACTCTGGCAACCTATGCACAAAAGTGAGAAAATGCTTTGAATAAGGTAGCACACTGCTTATTGTTTTTCTAGGTTGCATTACTCAATGCTATTAAATATGCTGTAAGATATGGGAGGGTATTTCCTGAAACTACACTTCCTTTCATGTACAACAGATCATGGGGAGGATGTTACACTTTTGTTGGTATCCAGAATTCAGGACTCTGGTTATTCCCAGAGGACCTCCACGGTGCTCATGTTGCACAGCAATCAACCCTTGGAGGACAGCACTACCTGTCCTTGGAGGTAGCCAAAAGTCATCTGGACTGAGTCCTAGATAACCTGCTGTAGATGTCCCTGCTTGAGCAGGGTGGTTGGACAAGATGCCTGCTATTCCAGAAGCAGATCAGTCTCATCAGTGACTCTGAGAAGCTCCTAGATTTGCCTCCCCAAACCAAAACATGGATGCCAGATGGCTCCTAGCAGCATGTATGTTACCACATCTCCTGTGTGATGCACTGGCACAGCTCTGGGCTGGGGAAGGGCTGTGGGGGTGAGGGGCAGCTGAGCACAGAGCAGTGCAGTCTGCACACTGCATGAACTCTGCAGCCAAATAAAGGCTACTCCTGCCAATTTTTTACCTACATGCCTGTTTCCCTGCACGTTGGTTGCATGCAATACAAGGTGCTGGCTCAAAGATGGCCCAGTCCATCTGTACTGGCTGTTTGTGCAGGGAATGGGATGATCTGCCACGACTTTAGGCATTGGCTAATGGAGAGAGAGGCTGGAAGGCAGGAGTGGCAGGCAAGACAGAGCTGCCTGACAAGGCTATTCTCATTTTCAGCAAAATTAGAATCTCATATTCATCATTAACCTAGAAAAAAAATCAATTGGTCAGTGAAATCACTAAACTGACTACAGATCTGGATGGCTGATGCCCCAGTAGTGACGAAGGAAGAGGGATCCATCCTGCAGAAGGATGGATAATGCACTGTTCATTTTTAGTACAGTAAGTGCTCCTGCCTTTGGCAGACTACACCATCAATCATCATGGAAACAGGCCTCAGCACAGAGGTCATGCACAAAGCACAGAATCTGCAAGTGAGGCAGGATTTAACCATAGCTTAAAGCACTGCTGAGCTTGGATGATGCTGTCATTCATTCTTGTACTGTGAGTGAGGCCACAACACTCTGTGCATGCAGAAAACATAAGCAGCAGTGGAAATGAGTATGTGCCTGCACCTCAGCTTTGGGCTCCACGTTTATTCTGAAGTTTATAAATTTTTTTACATCATACTTGCCACAAATTCCCATGTAAGTTTCTTCAGAGTTGCTGCCCTAGCATGAACCTAATTCCTTTGAAACAGGCTGATATTGCAGTTGTGTGATGGGTTTGCTCAGGTAATTACACCTTAGCATTCATTCCAGCTCTTCTTGTGCCTTAAATTGAACAAAATGGAGTAATTTGGCACTTTGCTTTGGAGACAGTGGGAGGTGAAAAATTCACTGCTTTCTGTCAACCTCCTAAAAATGTAGCACCAGCATTTTGCTTTCATTTCTTAGTTTGAACATTTCCAAACCTACTGGTGGTGTGTAAGTAGCCAATACCATACTGTGGAAATATTAAAAATTTCCAATCTCAGCAGTATAGGAAAAAGAATAGTTTTCAATTAAAACTACTAAAACATCCTAACAAACAGACTTATGTATATTCTCTTTCCTTCAAGAGAACATGTAGTTTAAGATTCCCAACTGTATGTAAAGGTTATGGAAAATGAACTTGTGTACTGCTAAACAGTTAAAACTGTTTTATTGAATTCTGTGAAGAAGGATCACAATTCTCCCTCAGTGTGTCCAGCTGGTACAGATAGTTTTTAACTATGTATCCAAATCAGAAATACAATAAACAGCAATTTATGGTCCAGTCCTATAATTTCACAGGATACTATGAGATCAGGAACTTCAACAGATATCAAAGGCACAAGGCACATATAATACTATTTTTCTCTTAACTGGAAATTGTCGTAATTATCCAACAGTGTCTGAACACAGTATTCTCAGGATTCTGTTTAATGGTGTTTAGTTGTGGACCACAAAGGGACTTCTCTCAAGTTTTCTCTCAATGGCTTCAATATTCATGTTGCTGTCCTTACAGTACACAACCTTTCAAGCCCAGAGCAGAGCAGGCAAATTTTAAGACTGATCACAAGATGTCTCCTGAATGTTAAGAATTTATTTGTACAATGATTTCTGCCTGCACTGATGTTTTCAGGATAACACTTCAAAAAGCCTTAGAGGAATATCACAGCCCATTAGGAATATCAATAATACATTTTTTCTCTCATGGGAACATTACACTACCTGAACTCATTCATTATCTGGCAATAGGGAATCAGTGATTTTAGTAGGGACTAACAGAACAGTAATTGGAAGAAAATCCACTTTTAGGGACTTTTTAGTCATTTGCTTATGACACACTGAATGGTTTGATTCAGGTCTCAGCATTAAGGAAATACATAGCCCCTTCTCATTCCATCATATCCATCCCTCTCTTTAACTTCTCTAGTTTCAGAAAGAAGGTACAGCAACTAGCTCATGGTTTGTGCGGTTTTTTTCATGATTAACCATCTTATTATATAAAGTTGGTGCTAGCAAGAACTTTTCTTGACAACATTTTATACTAATTGTGTCTCCTCTCTCCTTGAATGTCACCCCACCAACAAGAAAAATGGTAATTAATACAGCAGTGGAAAATAGCAACACTGTCTCTTCAGACGGTTCAGTAGTTTACCAGCAATAATTGGCTCTTCACTGCAGGACAGATAATTTTAATTGTGAGTTTTCAACCATGGCATATAATGCAGCTCTTCATAGATACATTAATGAATGTTTGCTGCTCCTTTATGAATTATTGTATATCTGAACTATCAGCTTCACAAATAACAGAGACTTCCAGCATTCACTCTACTCAGAAAAAATTTTTTTTTTTTTTTACATTGAATGAAGGATCTGCTTTTTACATGAAACTACTCAGGCCATAGTTTTACAAAACACCTCCAAAACACAGGAAGAAAAAAAAAATTATTTATTTCAACTCAAGCGAATGACCTAATATTTAGTAGGTTTTACCATTCTATTATGCAAAAAGACTCCCCTTTAAATATTTATAATTGGGCCCACATTTCAAGGCTAAGGTCCTCATATAATAAACTATAACACTTTCAAAGAATGTGCAGTTAAATAACCAGAACATTTATAATGTACATTCACAGTGTACAATAGTTTTATGCTAAAGTAACCAGCTGGAACAAATGGGAGCTATTGCAGTATAAAAGTCTAGAAAAGCTGTGATTAATCAGGTATAGGTCCCTGTGGCATGTAACTATATTATTTGCATAAATAGAGGCAGGAGTATTCAAAATCATGGCTCAAGAAAAGAGGTGAGACTACTGAAGGAAGAAGGTTAAAACTGAGCCCCAAAACGATCATTTACCCCTAAACAGAGCTACTGCTGATCAAGAGAAGACTACATGCTTCTGTGGCTGCTGCAATGGTTTTCTATTTGCAACACCATTATGTCAGGATCAGACACAAGCATTTTGATGTAAAGAAAGAGAAGGGAAAGAAAGGGGGAGGATAAAGAAGAAGGAGGAGGAGTAAATGAAGAAATTTAGCAATAGGAAAGTGAATCTGCACTGTAATTCCACCAACCCAGAGATTTTTCATAAACATTATTTTTCTTTTGCAAAACTATGCACTTACCAACATCAGGATCAGTTGCTTGGACTCTTGTTAACAAAGCTTTAGTGGCTGTGTTCTCATAGACACAGGCAGTGTAGTGGTCAGATGAAAACACTGGTGGATTATCATTAACATCTTCTAAAATAAGACGGATTTCTGACTGGCAAAACCTGCCACCACCATCAGTGGCTCGGGCAACCAAGTTGTATACAGGGATTTTCTCTCGGTCAAGAGGGGCCAAAGATTTCAGCTCACCTGAAATTATTTAAAAGCAGCAGCTATCATTATTATTGTAGCAACATCACCAACTCTAGACAGCATAAGTGTCTCAAAACAACGTGTTTCACAGGAACAAGAAAGAGAAAACAAAACCAACATTGCTTATTCCAATGAACAGATTAAAAACTCACAGCAGCATCACTTCCTCTTTACCCAAAAAAGTGAGATGCCAATATGAGTGCAGGGATGACAAGCCATTCATGGTGGCTTTAACAGCAGCCTACAGCTTTACCCACATGAACACCACCTTTTTCCAAGTCTGCCCTTCTGTCACTCTCAAGGTTTAGAGACTCCTTAACACAGAAACACATCCTTTTTAGCAGTACCTGCTGTGATATGACAAAGAGTAATAATTTTAAATTAAAAGAGGGGAGATTTATACTAGATATACGGGAAGACATTTTTTATGATTAGAGTGGTGAAACACTGGCACAGTGTTAAAACTTTGACTGGATGGGTCTCTGATCAACATGATCTATTTGAAGATGACTCTACATATGGCAAGATGACCTTCAAAGTTCTCTTCCAGCCCAAAATTTATCTGTGATAAATCTCTGATCTAACTTGAAGTCTGCAGGGAAACAAAAGGATCAATAACCACTGTTCCAGTTATAACATCCAACCTGGCCAACCAAGATGTCCCTCATTCTCCCTCCTGCCAGCACCGTTCAAATGGTCACCCACATCTGCCAGAACTGGAACAACTGGCTGATAGCCACGTGTAACCTAACACTAATTAAGGAAATCAGTACCCAGATGTGGAGAGGTTAAAGCTATTCAGAAACATTTGGTTGTCTTCTTACCATTTTCTGGATCTAAGAAAAATTTGTTGTTCCCCGAACCATACAGAGAATAGCGAATTTCACCATTGGACCCGATGTCAGCATCTTTAGCACTGATTTTGAGAATTACTTTGTTTGGTGGAATGTCCTCAGGAAACAATGCTGTGTATGCAACCTAGAGTAAAAAACAGACGTGTAAGTTATGCTGTAGCAGTATTTTACAGTCTTTGAACTACCTTTTTTTAAAAACTATTTGTAGTGCATCTTTCTATACAGGAGACAATTTTGTTTTACACAACACATTCCTAGAAACTTGAATCACTGTTAAGCTTTGAGGTGTCAGAGAAAAAATGCCAAATTATGACTGTGAATAGGGCTCAATGCAATACCATTTTGTATCTTCTGTTTATTCCATTGACACCCATGAAATGAAAATCTTGATGAGTGTGCTAACAGAAACAATTGTTTTTATCACCTCATCCAGCAGTTTTGAGGGAAATACAGACTGTGATTCCCCAGAGTGGAAGAGTGGTTCTTGCAATGACAGTAATCCATCAGTGAGTGATAATGCAACAAAGGGAATTAGATGAGTATATGTATGCACAACACATACAAACACACACATACACACACAGACATACATATATATATATGAATTTATATATATATAAAATTTTCTGTGAGTAGTACCATTAAAGAACTCTGGGTTTTATCATGGCTTTTCTCTCACACAGACCTTTCCATTGCACTAACATCAGTTCCCTGGAATCCCTTTCCACAGAATACAAGACAGTTAGCACTCTGGAAGCTGTGGTCAGGCCACACTGCATGCATTCCTGACAACAGGGCAGCAAGCTACAGTCTTCTGCCTTTTCCACTGGATGTGTGGTATCTGGAAAGTTGAGGAAAGCTGGAGTTAAACTAGACTGATGACGTTTCTGCATGGGTTGTGAAGGGAGAGCACATTCTTTTTTGCAGGGGAGGAGTAGCTGCCCAATGCCACCTCACAACGCATCATTTATTGTAAAGCCAACTAAGGCCACTGTGTACAAGACTCTTTTGCAAGCTTTATGAGATCATCCTTCAGTCTTGGCTTCACAGGAATGCTTTATCCTGCTTCTCTCCCAGATCACTGCAGATTCTTCAACTAAGATCATAAGGATGAAAATCAGCATTGCCTATGAATACTCTGAATACTTGCAAACAGCAAGAGACATGTGTAGGGAAAGCACTGCTCTCAAGAATGGCCCATGGCCATGGGTGGTGTTAACTCACCTGTGCACAAACTGGATTATTATCATTGACATCAGTGACAGTCACTTCCACAGCAGCTTGGGTCACAAAAAGGCCATCTGTGGCGGTGATGTTCAGATAATAAATGTCTTGCTCTTCCCGATCCAGAGGCCTTTTAACATAAACTTTCCACTCATTCTGAACCAGTCCCAGAGCGAATTTTCCTCTGGGATTCCCTCCTGCAGTAAGACAGGCAACACACAATGAGCTGTGGCATCCCTTCAGAGCTCCCACCTGGTTTAAACACAGCGACACATCACTAAGCAGCCATCATTTCTTTCACAGCTTTTGGTGCTTCCAAACTTGCAGACTCAGGAAATCTGTAATGAAATTACACTCCCTGTGTTTATTACCCCCCGAATGCCCTGTATGAAAGTGAACCAGTAACTTTCAGTGGAAAAAAAAAAATCCATTTAGCAGAGCTGAAGATGATCTCTTGTTCAGTTCCCCGTAAGGGTAATCAAATTCAAACTGTGAACAATCAATAGTCCTCTCGGGCTGGTACAATTGTCTTTCCACTTAGTCTCGGGAGAGGATGTAATACACCGTAGCTCTTGTTACCAAGACAATTTCATTAGCTGTTGATTATGCAATCAAGGACTGGAAGTGGGTTCTATTAAGGAATCCTCTAATGAAAGCTTTATCATACAGCTGCAATATTCTTGTGCTTATTAAAATTCCAGTTTTCAAAAAAGTTTACATGACACAGGAAGACACATTAGTATTAAACAGTCCTAACAAGAGGTCATTTGAGGAACAGCTGGAAAATAAGCAGTACAAATAGATCAAATGTATCTAGGAGTGAAAGCAGGTGAAAGATGTGCAGGAGATAAAGCAGAAGAGTTTTTTTACCATGCCATGTCACTGACACTGAACCTGGCAACGTTGCTCTTCCACCTCATTAAACTGCTTGGTGACAAAAAGAGGTTGGGAGAGGGAAAG